CACACCCCTCTCCAGCAACTGTTATTTTTTGAGTTATTGATAATTGCTATTCTGACTGGAGTTAGGTGGTAGCTCAGTGTGGTTTTGATTTGCATCTCCCTGATGATTAGTGAGGTTGAACATTTTTTCATGTGTCTGTTGGCTGCTCGGATGTCTTCCTTTGAGAAGTGTCTGTTCATATCTTTTGCCCATTTTATAATGGGGTTGTATGTTTTTTTTCTTTTCAGCATGTTTGAGTTCCTTATAGATCCAAGATGTTAAGCCTTTGTCAGACCTGGAGTTGACAAATACTTTTTCCCAGTCTGTAGGCTGTCTCCCTACTCTCTTGATGGTTTCTTTGGCTTTGCAGAAGCTTGTCAGTTTAATGAGGTCCCACTTGTCTATCTTCTCTCTTATGGCCTGTGGGTTTCAGGTTTTGTTCAGGAATTGGATGCCAGTTCCAATTTCCATGAGGGTATGTCCTTCATTTTCTAAGGTTCTTATGGTTTGAGGTTTTACATTTAGGTCTCTGATCCATTTAGAGTTAATTTTTGTGTATGGGGATAGATAGGGGTCCTGTTTCATCTTCTGCATGTGGTCAGCCTGTTTCCCAGCACCATTTACTGAATAGGTTCTCCTCTCCCCAGTGGTAGGTGGTGGAGTCTTTGTTGAAGATGAATTGATTGAGAAATTGAGGTTTTGCTTCTGGGATCTCAGTTCTGTTCCATTGGTCTATATGCCTGTTTCTATACCAATACCAAGCTGTTTTGATTATTGTAGCTTTATAGTAAAGTTTGAAGTCTGGTAATGTGATACCACCTGCTTTGTTTTTTGTTTTTTTTGCTGAGAATTATTCTGGCTATTCTTGGTCATTTGTGTTTCCATATGAATTCCTGTGTTGTTTTTTCTAGGTCTAAGAAGAATGTTGCTGGTAATTTGATGGGTATTGCATTAAATCTGTAGATTGCCTTAGGTAGAATGGACATCTTCACAATGTTGATTCTTCCAATCCATGAGCATGGGATATTTTCCCACTTGTTTGTGTCATCTTTGATTTCTTTGAGCAATGTTTTGTAGTTTTCATTGTAAAGGTCTTTCACGTTTCTGGTTAGGAAGATGCCAAGGTATTTTATTTTTTTTGTGGCTACTGTGAATGGAATTGTGGTTTTTATTTGGGTTTCTGTTTGTTTATTTTTGGTGTAAAGAAATGTGAATGTCTTTTGCACATTTATTTTATGTGCTGAGACTTTGCCAAAGTTCTTTATCAGTGTAAGGAGGTTTTTGACAGATTCTCTTGGGTTTTCAAGGTACATGATCATGTCATCTGCAAAGAGAGATAACTTGATTTCCTCTTTTCCTATTTGGATACCCCTGATTGCCTTCTCTTCTCTGATTGCTCTAGCCAGGATTTCCAAAACTATATTGAACAGGATGGTGAGAGTGGGCATCCTTGTCTTGTTCCAGTTTTCAGGGGAAATGGTTCCAATTTTTGTCCGTTTAAGAGTATGCTGGCTATGGGCTTCTCGTAGATAGCTTTTACTATTTTGAGGTATGTTCCCCATATGCCTAGATGTTCGAGAGTTATCAACAAGGGGTGCTGGATTTTATCAAAAGCTTTTTCTGCATCTAATGATATAATCATGTGGTTTTTGTTTTGACATCTGTTGATGTATTTAATTACATTTATGGTTTTACGAATGTGAACCAGCCTTTCATCCCAGGGATGAAGCATACTTGGTCATGGTGGATGATTTTTGAGATGTGTTGTTGAATCCGCTTTGCTAGGATCTTGTTGAGAATTTTAGCATCTATGTTCATCAAAGATATTGACCTGTAGCTCTCTTTCTTTGTTGGATCTTTACCTGCCTTGGGTATCAATGTGATGTTGACTTCGTAAAATGATTTGGGGAGAGTTCCGTCTTTTTCAATTGCCTGGAATACCTTCAGTAGGATTGGTATCAGCTCCTTCTTAAATGTTTTGTAGAATTCTGCTGGAAAGTCATCTGGACCAGGGCTTTTTTTTGTAGGTAGTTTTCTTATTATGTAGTCAATTTCCTTGATTGTTATTGGTCTATTTAGGGTCTCAATTTCTTCTTGTTCCAACCTAGGTAGGTTGTGTGATGTCAGAAAGTCCTCCATTTCCTTAAGGTTTTCAAACTTGTTTCCATACAAGTGTACATAGTAGTCTCTAATGATCTTTTGTATTTCTTCAGGGTCAGATGTGACTTCATCTTTTGTGTTTCTGATTGTGCTTAGTTGGGTTTTTTCTTGTTTTTTTCTTGGCCAGTCTAGCTAGGGGACCATTGATCTTGTTTATCCTTTCAAAGAACCAGCTTTTTGTTTCATTGATTTTTTTGTATTATTTTTTTGTCTTCTATGTCCTGGATTTGGGCTTTTATTTTGTTGATCTGGATTCTTCTGCTAAAATTAGGGTTTTTGTGGTCTTGCTTCTCCAGCTTCCTTAGGTGGCTTGTTAGGCTGTTAATTTGTGATCCTTCCATTTTCGTCATATGATTTGTAGGGATATAAATTACCCTTTTATTACAGCTTTCATGGCGTCCAGAGATTTTGGTAAGATGTTTCTTCATTTTCATTTGTTTCCAGGTATCTTTTAATCTCTGTTTTGATGTCATCATTGACCCAAGAGTTGTTTAGCATCATGCTGTTTAGTGTCCATGTCTTTGTGGGTTTTGGGGGGATCTTGTTGGTGTTAATGTTTATTTTTATTCCACTGTCGTCTGAGAAGCTGCATGATAAAATTTCGGTCCTTTTAAATTTGCTTATACTTGATTAATGGCCAAGTATTGGTCAATCTTAGAGTAATTCCATGCGGTGATGAGTAGATTGTGTATTCTGTGGTCTTTGGATCAAGTGTTCTATAGGTATCAATTAAGTCCATTTGGTCAAGAGTCACATTGAGGTTCCTGATCTCATTGCTGATTTTTTTGTCCTGATGATCTGTCTAGGGTTGTGAGTGGGGTATTAAAGTCCCTTGTTATGATGATGTTAGAGTCAATATCTTTCTTTAGTTTTCCTAGAAGCTGCTTTATGAAAGTTGGCGCTCCTATGTTGGGTGCATATATGTTTAGGATAGATATTTTTTGTTGATGGAGTGAACCTTTTATCATTATGTAGTGGCCCTCTGTATCTTTTTACATTTTTGATAGCTTAAATGGTATTTTTTCTGAAATTAGGATCATGACTCCTCCTTTCTTTTGTGTTTCATTTGCCTGAAAATTTGTTTCCCATCCTCTTACTTTGAGTCTGTGTGTCCTTTCTAGTGAGATGGGTCTCTTGAAGGCAGTATATTGTTGCCTGGTGATATTTTATCCATTTTGTCATTCTATGTCTTTTCAATGGTGCATTTAGTCCATTCACATTCAGGCTAATTATTGAAATGTGAGAGTTCGTCCCTATCATAGAGTTCTTATAGAGTGTTGTTCTTCCACTTGGTTTTTTGTCTTTCTTTTGGTTTTGGGGTTGGTTCATGTGTATTTTATTCTTTTTCCTGTACCCTTGTGAAGAACGTTGTTCTTTTTTCCTTTTCTTCTGTGTTTAGTACTTTCTCAAGTGTTTCATGTAGAGGTAGTCTGGTGGCAGCATAAGTTCTTAGGGATTGGATATCTGGGAAAGATTTTAATTCTCCCTCGCTGATAAAGCTTAACTTGGCTGGATAGGTTATTCTTGGTTGAAATTGTTTATCTATTAGAACTTTGAAGATAGGGCTCCAAGCTCTCCTAGCCTGTAGGGTTTCTGTAGATAAATCTGCTGCTATTCTAATTGGTCTTCCATGGTAGGTGATCTGGCCTTTTTCTCTTGCTGCCTTTAGGGTTTTTTCTTTTATACTTACTTTGTTTAGGTGAATTATTATGTGTCTGGGAGTTGGTCTTCTCATTTGTTGTCTTGCAGGGGTTCTCTGAATCTCTTGTTTTTGAATTTTT